TTGCTGTGAACAAGAGAGCTTCACTGTTGAAATAAGAATTGGACATCATTTTTCAATATGGACTAGCGAACTGAATTAGAATGAGGGTTTGGGGATCCAGATTTCCCCTTGGAGAGATGAAAATTACTTTAACAATTAGCAATAAAGCTACACATAACTATGTAAAGAGACCACTCTATATAGCTGGCTTAATATAATTTTAAAATGATCATTTCTCCCCCAGAATCAAATAAGCAGTGCTATAAAGCACAAGTTTGCATAAACCATTATTTAGGCAGGCCTTAACATTAAAACAGTTCTCCTCTCCCTGCTTTCTCTTCATTCTGAATCTTCAAAGGTAGAAACCTCCAACATAACCCATGACTTATCATAAGCTTAACATTAATGGTGCAGTGCAGCATTACTCTGCCCTTGGTTACTTGCTTTGTATTGAACATTAATGCAATTGTGTATGCCTTGAGAATGTAGTAGAAGTAGGGCTGGGTCTCAGCTGCTCTCTGTGATTGACTGGATATTTTTAGCTCAGTTCTTAGAGCGTAAATTGCCTTATGTGCGCCAGCCATTGATTTTGCTCTATTATTCTTGTGTTTTGGCTAGGTTTGAGGAGAAGGAAAAATTACAATGGATTGTTAGAGCCTTTATTGAATAGGTGTCTAGAGGAACTTGTTTCTGTACAAAGAGATTGTCACCAGGGACAAGGAAATATTGAAGTTTGAAGGGATTGCCTTCTAATACCTTTAATGTGGCAAAGCTACATTTAGGTGAAGGATGGAACTTTGGGGCGAAAGGTCAACAGGAGGAAAAGAAAAGCTAAAAAAATAAAAGCCAGAGACAATGGATACAATTTTTATGTACTGAACCAAAATCATGAACTTCAAATGCTTCCATGCTTCTGTTCCAACTGGACCTACAAAGAGCTATTTAAAACTTTATGAACCATTTTGAAATTTCAATGTTTTTGCATAAATATGACCTAAAACAGATCTTTTTTTCCACACAAGTCCTAAAACTGGATAAAGAGAACCCAATTAAACAGATGAGCCCCAAACATTATATTTGTTCATTTATTTATTGAGGAAAATTATCCAAAGTTATGTCGTCATGTGCAGCAAAAATATGTAAATCTTTGCTTTCAGTAACTAGAGTGCCTTCCTTGGCCAACAATAAATGCATTGAAATATTTCCCAATAACAGTTGATCAACCCTGCACATCAGCTTGAAGGAATTTCAGCCTATTCCTCCTTACATATCAACTTTAATTCAGAGGCATTGATGTGCTTCATTGCTTGAGCTGCCCACTTCAGGATCTTCCATAACATTTTTATAGGATTAAGGTCAGGACTTTGACTTGACCATTCCAAAATATTAATTTTCTTCTGCTTTGGCCATTTTTTGCTCATAGAGCTTGGGTCTTGTTGGTTTTGCTTTGCTGTATGAGCCACTAGCTCTTGAGCTACCATTCGGATATATACATATCTTTGAAGTTTCAGAATTCATACTTCCATCAGTGATGGCAAGTCATCCTGGTGCATAGGCAGAAAATCAGGCCCAAACCATGACACTGCTACCATCATGTTCACAGTCAGAATAAGATCTTATGGTGGAATGCAGTGATTATCTTTCATCAATGCAACATTTTTCATTCAAGTAAAAAAGTTACATTTTCTATTCTTCCAGTAATCTTTTGGCTTAGCCATCTGGTTAACCCTGATAATTGCTAATGCAACAGAGGCATTTATTTCCTTAGATGTTACCCTGGAGTTCAGGGAGACTCCTGGTGTATAGCACACTTTGCTCTTGATATAATTTTGCCAGGAGAGGATAACAGTGGTGTTGAAATGCCTCCATTTGTGCAGAATTTGCCTGGTAGTGAATGAATGGAGACCATACATTTTGGAAATAGTTTTCTAACCTTTTCCAGCCTGGTGAGCATCAACAACTGTTTTTCAGAACCTAGTTCCTTATACCTGTGTTGTGAAGATCAACTCTTTCAATAAAGAAATAAACTTTATTATGTCTGATTGAAACAGCTAACTCAATTTAAATTTTCAAATGAACTACTGATCCTTAGAGGTTCACATACTTTTTGCATACAAGCATTAGTAGCCTTGAATCATTTCCCTCAGTAATTGAACAAATACACTGTCTTTTACTGATTTCTTTAATTGGATTCTCTTTATCTGCTTTTAGAACTTGTGTGGAAAACAAATAATATTTTAGGTCATCTTTGCAGGAATATCAAAAAATAAAAGGGATTATCAACTTTTAAGCACTACTGTAACTACCTGGAGGACCCTCTAAGATTTTCTCTTTTTCCTGACTGTTGTGGTAAGACTGTTTGTTTGTAAAATTTGTTGGCCACTCATTTTACCTCATGGCAACTCTTATTATTCTTTTAAGGTGGGGGGGGTGTCAAACTTGTGATGACACGTTGTCACGTGATGTATCACAACTTCCCCCCCTTTGCTAAACTGGGTGTGGGGGTGGCCAGTGCATGATGCATCTGGCCCTTGGGCCAGAGTTTGACACCCTTGTTTTAGGACAACATTGGGCTTTTAGAATTGTTTCTCTTAAGAAACCAAAAATGCACTGGAACTATAGTTTTTTTGGAGCAGTAGTTCACTTTCCCTTGTTTATACTGGGAGTTCTAGTCCAACACATCTGGAAGACATCAGTTTGGAGAAGACTACTCTAACACATGTCTTTGTAGTCAAGAGAGTTTCCTATTTGTTATTTATGTTATTTAATTAAGTTTCCCTCTTCCTCCTCCTCACTTCTCAGCTTGAAAGCCATCCAAAGCATCTAACATTCTGCCAATGAAATCAATGCTGTTTTTGCTCACATTCTTAACCATTGAAAATGATATGAAAGCAGATGACATTTTAAAAAATGGAGCCAACTCTTAAATCACATTTTTTTTTGTAACATCCAGTTGAAAAATATCTCAGGAAAAAGAGGATCAGAATCTTTTATTGCCAAGTGCTGCAATTTCTCTTTTCACTTAAGGAGTAACTCTTTTTTTGGATGGGGGGGACATGTAATTTTTTTAATGCATAATGTAACATTGGAATAAGCCATTTTTAATCTGAAAGATTATGCTAAAAGGTGATTGAAGGGGGCTCTGTTTCCATGAGCAGACACAGACTTTAAACAGACTAAAATGTCATGCTATCTATCACCAATAACTCCTCCCTCTGTTTTTTTTTTCTCCCTGAAAAAGAAAGAAACCATCAGAACTATTTTCAGGAAGTTTCGGCCTCCTGAGACTAGGAAACAGTGGGAATGTATTTCTAAGAACAAAGAATTGTTAAATTTTGGATCTCCATAATATTATACTCATGTAGGAAATACAAAACTAATGTATTTTGAAAAAAATTGCCCAAGCTTGTAGCATTATTCCCAAATGGAAATATTAGTAGTTAAATGAAAATATTAGTACCAAACATTTTGTTTATTGTAGAATTTTTATTATAATCTACATATGTATTTAAAGTAAATAAATATAATCAGATAGTAGTAGTCACATTTTTCCATGTATTTAAATGTCAATAATCTGGAGATAAGCTAGGGTAACATAATTATAGTAAAAAATCTGAAACCCCATGATTTTTTTTTAAAGTGGTAGCAATGCCCTAATTCAGCACATTGCTAGCCTATTTAAATTTGCATTCAAAGTGACGGGGGAGTTTTGATTTTTTTAAAAATGACAATTCTTTCTTTTTATCCCATTACTCATAAATTTGCTCTAAAATATTCCTAGACTATATTTTATGTTATTATATTTTTAGTTGCAAAATCACCAGGTTTCTCAATTACTTAGGCATTAGCAATATGTGTCTCCTATGGATATAACATATGCCTCCAGCCTGAAAAGTAAGTCTAACACTATAGGCAACTTCTCAAAAGCTCTAATTGCAGCTGAGTGATTCAGTTTCGGTAAATCAACACTATTATATGTTGTCCTTGCGCTACTGCATGTTGTGCTTTTCAGCCCCAAGAAACACGTATGATATCAAGATGTGAGATGGAGGCTGTACATGTATGAATACATACTGTATTTTCCCCAACATATACTGTATATGCACATTAAACCTCTCTCATACATCAGTTTTAAGACAAGATTTCTCTACTGCTTTTAGCAGTGAAGAAATGATATGCAGCATGGATTGACCAAATGCACTGTTTCATAACAAGCTTTTGTAAATTCAAAGGTTGTAGTAAGGTATTTGTCCTCACATATCCTCTTTCTCAGCCTAGTTCAGTGATGGCTAACCTTTTCAGCTTGGTGTGTCGAAAATTGGGAAAAAGTGTAGCCTTCCTCGGGTCGTGTGTCACTTCAAGAAATATCAATAATTTGGTTTATGACGGACTGGGCTGGGGTGATCACACAGGGCTGTGAAACTCGTCTCCCTGGTCTCAGGGCTGCAGGTGCAGGATGTGGGGATCGGAAGGCCACCTTACAGGGCTGTGAACCTCATGGATCTCCTTTCCTCCTGTAGCGTTCCTGAGGTAATGAAACTGACAAACCTCAGTTTATGGCGGTTAAAACTGGTTCTCTGCTGCAAAGATCTCGCGGCAGCGGTGACACCATACCTCCACGCAACAAGCAGGGAGCAGAGATTGGAGCAGAGCACAGGCAGCCTCTAAATGTGCAGGTTTTCCCCACACCAACAGGCGTGTCAGTCAAAGTGCCTCAGCGTGTCACGAGTGACACGCGTGTCATAGGTTAGCCATCACTGGCCTAGTTAGATAAAAGGGTAGCAGCATAGTTGGCAAATGCAGAAAAGGTCTTTGAAAGTTTGCATACCACAAATTGCTCATCTCTGTTTAAAGCTTGCTTAGAAATACCTTTGTTTTTCTAGGGCTGTCATTTGTATATATACATACAGCTGCACAAATGCAAGTGTATTATTTGCCATGAAGTAATCAAGAATTTGCAGGCAGGCACTACATATTGCAAAACTCACTATTCTTTTTTTTTTCCCCTCTTTCCTTCATAGTATGAAGTCTCTGGTGAGGAGCACCTTTACTCTGATTTCCCTGAGATTGATTTGTCTCCGCTGGATACCAATGACTTTGACTCAGCCAATTGCTTCAGCGAGTTCCAGTGGTGGTGTGAGCACTCTGAAACAGAATCCAGTCAGTACAGCACAGATGACTCTGAGCTCTTTCAGGTACCCTACATCAAGAGATCCCCTGTTACAAAGGGAGAGTCTGCTGTGCAGCACGGCTTTCCGCTTCCTTTAAGGAATGTGTCACTCTGGGATCCCAGAGTGCATTCTTCTCCTAAAAACCTTGGGTATATGCAAAATTTGCGTACCAAATTGTAATTTCAAATGTGACCGGAGTGTAGAGAGAATGATTAAATACAAGGAAATTAATCATGTTAACTGTATTTACTTTAATCTTGATTGAGTTAAACAGCCATTCTGAGTTGCTGATTACCACTGCAATCTTATCAAGAGCAAAAAACGCAAGTCTTCTTCACTTAACAACTGCAGTTTGGGACCAGCAACTGCATTGCTAAGCAGCGCAGTTGTAAAGTAAAACATCACAAGACCCTTCCTTAACAGACATTCCTTTTAGTGACTTTTTCAAGTTAAAGCGGTATTGAAAAAGTTACTTATGCCTGGTTCTGAGACTTTCAACCATTGGAGCATCCCTGTGGTCACATTATCAAAATTCAGATGCTTGGCAACTGATATGTATTTATGACGGTTGCAGCAACCAGGGTCACGTGATCACCATTTGCAAACTTCCCAGATGGCTTCCAATAAGCAAAATCAATAAGGGGAAGCTAGATTTCCTTAACTTTGCGATTCCCTTAACAATTGCAGTGCTTCACTTAATAATCATTGTTGGGGGGAGAGTTCATAAAATCAAGTATAATCATTTAACAACCACCTGGTTTAACAGTGGAAATTCTAGTCCCAACTGTAGTCATAAGTCAAGGACTACTTGTATTTAAATCAATTTAAGTGCCATTAGGCTGGGGTTTGATATTTAACTTTCTCAGGTGAAAGGAAGAACATAACTTACAATGTGTTGGGTCTCTCTGGTTTAATTATATGTTTTGAATTGCTGACCATATTTTCTTACTCAGATAGATCTGGGAGTTGGAGCTTCATTCACAGGAGTGATTTCAGGAAGAAAGTTCAACATGTTTGTTCAACCTATTGTTTTAGATCTTTGGTGTCTTCAAGAGTCTATCTTACATACATAATCTTTATCTTATGAAGATACGGAGTAAAGTCATCTGAAGTTTCGTAGTAAAATATTCCATGGGTTTTTTCATGTTATCTCATAGAGTGGAGGTGCCTATTTTCATCAAGGACAAGGGAGATGTGTAGAAAATGGGAAGGGAATATAAAATGGGGGCTAAGTAATTCAGAATCTTGGTGTATATCTTTTTTCTGAATAGAGCTCCATGTCCTTTGTAAAGAAAGTACACATTCTAAGATATAATTTTGGATCCAGTATTGCCACATGAATTTTGCATTTTGGTCTGTGCTCCTTTATTTCAAAACCCATTAAGTGCTTGCTATATCAACCTCCTTCTTTTTTAAGAGCATCAAGTGATGATTTTGGTTAGAGAAATAGAGGACAGACTTCCTTGATAGAGATTGGACTTCAGATCATGCCTTTAAGGGCAAATCTGACTTGCGCTAATTAACCCTGTCTACTTTTGAGTACCAAGTTAAAATATTTCTGTGCCTTGATATTTCAAACTTGATTGCAGCTGTCCTGTGTGACTTCAGCAGATTGGGTGAATTTTGGTTTAATTCCTCTCAATGTAGTGGTCTTGAATGAAAATATACAGTATAATTTTATGGTACTGTAAGTGTAATTACATGCTTATATATCACTGTAAAAACCCAGCTGTTTTAGGAATTCTTGCAAATATTTTTTTTCATTCAACCAAATTTAAAGAAAAGAAATTCCCTTATCTGCCTAGCTTACTCACTCCTAGTTTAGTTATGCATCTCTTTTAATAGATGCACCTGGGATAACTCTACTTAATGGGTTCATAAGCCTATTAATTCCTTATTGTACAGGCTGGGTTTTTTTCCCCCTTCCTAGATCAGTATGAGGAAAAGTGGCTGTGGATGGGGAGGGGATCCAGGCTATTAATATATTTTCTGCACATGATTAGTGCTCCATTAATTTACACTTGGTTTCTAAATGGAACAAGTATAGTAAAGCTAATGAGGATGTGGAAGAGTAGGAGAGGGCTACTGAGCCAATCCTCTTGTGATCTATTATTGAAGGGAAATTACAGGATGGTGCCTGGTGCATCCAGCTTTTTTTTTTTTTTTTTTTTTAGCTGATGGATTGTTCTTCTGTAGGTGGGAACACTAAAGGAGAAGGATGCAGAGAAGATTGGTGCAGAGGGAACACTTTCACAGGGGGAACATAAGTTATATGACGCGAGAATGTTAATTTCCATCCTGCAGAAGGCTGCTTTATGTGATTACCCAGCTTCAGCATCATCTTTACATCTCTGTGCACGTGGATATTTATAGATGAGGCTCTCTGTGTGTTGCTTTCGCAGTACTTTCTAAATATATGTGGTCCCATTGTACAAATAATGAGTTAAGACGTGGTGCTGGGTGGATGGAGCAATGAGCCAGTGAAGATTAAAACCGTATTACATACCTAGATTTATGAGGGTTTTTTTCCCTCCACAACCCATAGTTTCCCCTTTTCTTTCTTAGCTTTCACAAACTGGTGCAATATTTCACATTTGGATACACTGCATTCACACTACAATTAGTTCTCTTATATCAGGGCATGTTGTAAATGATTGCAATAGGAGTCAAATTAAAAGTAACCACCATGACATACATTTAGTTTAAATAGTAATTTATGAAACGGAAATAATCCCTGAAATGAACTATTTTGTAACCTTATATTTATTTCTTCACATAATCCCCACTGTTTACTATACATTTCTGCCAATGATAAGCAATCATGAAAGAACTCGACATGTTGACTTGATAAAGCCATCATGAAAGAACTCGACATGTTTTCTCTTCCACTGTGTCCTGATAGTTCCTTCAACCTCTCTGAGTCACCGCATGCCCACAAAAGTATTTCCTAAATTTTTGGAAAAGATAGAAGTTTTATGACACCATCCTGGACTGCATGCCAGGTGGTATAAGATGATAAGATGCAACTTCACAATTGCCTCTTGACTGGTGAGGTGTATTGCAGCAAATTTTTGTGTGTGTGCTTCCAAATTCTGTTTATTTCAAAGCTTTCAATGTTGCAATGTAGCACTATGAGTTAATAGTGGTGGTAGGTTTAAGGAATTCCAAGTGAATAGCCCCATCTGCCAGATCTTGACTTTTCTTGAATTCCCATAGGTGAAATTTTCTGATAATATATATTGTATAGATTGATGATGCATTTCTGGGTCATAATGAGCCCCATTTTTTGTCAGGTATCAAGCTCTGAAGAAATTCCTCACTTTCATTCTTGTAGCATGACAACAACTGCTGGCAAATTTCAACTCTTAAAGCTTTCTCTACCATTAGTCTGTGAGGAGCCTACCTTGCTCAAACTTTCTGATTTTGAAGAACATCAATAATTGGACCCCACACATTCCTGTGAAATGTCAAGTTTGACAGCTATTTCCCTTTGAATGATCTGTCAATTGTCCTTAATTAGTTAAACTTTCACATCTGAAACTTAGTTGCTGGCAAAAGCTGTCCACTTTGTGCATGATATGCACACACCAGCTCTTTCTAGTTCACCATATTTACAGTATATTTTTTGACCCAATGATGTATGTTATGCATTTATTTGATTCAATTTTTGATACCATACAGCTCCAACTGACTCTGGGCAGATCACAAAATTAAAATAACAACCACCACAAAACAAATTATTAAAAAATTAGTAAAGAATATACCTTCCATACAAGAGAGTTATAAGATGGCAATCCAGACAGCACATAATATATATGAACTGGAGGAAATCCATCCACCCTTCTCCAAGGCCAGGGCAAATGATCAGTACTCATGTCAGCACAGTCATCAATATAAACAATCTGCATTTGTTGATGAATTTCAATTGGAGGGGCTCTTTCAGCAGACAAATATTCAATCATGATTATAGTACACTGAGTACTTAATACAAGATTCCATTTCATGAATAAATAGCAAGATAACCTTTTCTCACAGCAACTTCCCACCAAGTGAAAACAGCAGATGCTAAGAAACATGTCACAACTTCTAGCACGTCAGTATTGCCATCTATTGGTGACCTATAACATTGGAGGCATTACTTTTCATTTGCTCCTCCTACCTTCAGTTTTCCTTTGGCTAAATCCTGTACAGTTTAATGTGTTCTGAGAACATCAAAATTTGTCATCTGACTTAGTAAACATAATAAAGAGGTTGTATATTGTGAATATTTAGTACGCAAATATGGTTTCCCAACTCACACACAGGTGACTCCAGGTGACTCCAGGTGACTCACATTAAAATCCTCACACACACACACACACACATATGGCAGCAACAACACAATTAAACCAACTATTTATTTATTAAACAAATTTATATGACTATCTACTCCCCCAAGGAAAAGTGTTGGCATTACCAAACATAATTCAAAGACCTGAGAGTAGGGAACATATTTCGTGCTAAACTTTGAGTGACTGCAGTGGCCAAACCATGTCATGTCTATGATTGCCTGGCAGGCCATTGGGGAAAGAAGTTTAGTGATGGCATGAAGCCTTGCCAATACTCTCCTGATGCAAAAACTTTGAAACACTGGGCATTTTCTGGTGAAAATTGATGGGTCTTTAGGTTCCCCAAATAGAGTTATCAGTTGCTATAATTTTATGATCTAGTGACTGGAGTTGGAACTGGCAAAGTTAAGTGTTCAATGGAAACAATACATTAAAGCTGTAGCCAAACTACTTTCCTTGAGCCAGGCTTCTATTAGGCATTCACTAGCTCCATGCAATCGAATGTATGATTTTATCCCCTTGCCAGCTCTCCTTGGTGCCATGCTAGCCATGATAGAAGGGATGCCTATTTCTCCACATGAAAGCTAAGCCAGAGAATAAAATAAAAGCAGAATTCCCTGATTCCCACTTCACCATATTTTTAGCCTGCAAAGGGTTAAAGAGACTGCACATTACTGGTGCATGGATTACAGGTCAGTAATTTTTGCTCACTAACAACCTGGAAAGGCTGTTGCTTTCTTTTCCAGGTACATCATCAATTTTTACAAATAGCAATGAGAATGTTACTGACACCCGTCAGCTCAGTCTTTTTTGGGGGAGGGGAGTGAGGAGGAGCTGCTTCTGCTGTAGTAAGAGCCGTTGCTAGATTCTACTATAGCATCTAGAGGGTTTTTTTTTTTTTTTTGTATTTTTTATGGAGGTTCGAGAGAGAGTTTTAATCAGCCCTTTTCAGGGAATAGCAATTCTAAAATGCATTAAATAAAAACAGCGTAGAAATGAGGTAATTGGAGCCCCTCTGGTTACTGCTGAGTGTAATTACAGTAGGAGGCCTGACCAGCTGCAATGAAGCTTATCCAAGCAACCTCTAACTGATCTGCTGCAGAAGCTTAACTGTATGTGCAAACAAGGGATGCAGTTTTAATTTCCTGAAATGGCTGAAAGTTGTGGAGGAATGAATGAACAATCCACAGTCCCACAATATAAATTCAAATGGTAAGAACAACAGTCTTGCTCTGGATGAATGCAACAAAGCTGGTTTGGATAAGAACAGAGAAAAGAAATCTTAAATTGGCATATTAACACAATAGTGCAAATACATGGGTGGTGCTCATGAAAAGATGATTCATTCATTAATATTCAAAGTGCATGCCATAGTTTCAAGTACCCAGACCTTACCGATTACCAAAACATGTCAAGCCATAAGGCTTGGGCAGAAGCTTTGTCTAACCCCACCAGAATCTTCCAGGTAGGTTTTCCTGCTTTATGCAGACAGGAAAGGGGGTTACTCACTCTTACCAATATGCAATCTTAGCTTATCTTGCTTTGTTCGGTATCCCACTCAATCCCTCCTTGATTTGACTTCATAAGAGCCCAGCCTAGCAGGATGTTGCAAAAGGACCTAGCAGGATGTGTGTGATGCTAGTATTATTGCTATTTAGTTCCTACAATAAAAGAACCTATTTATACACTGATTCCTGTAACAATTTTAGGGTGATGCGGGTATTTTCACTTCCTAGGATAGAACCTCCTAGAAGTGTAACTGAGAAGGGACATATTAAAGAGTGTGGAGAAATACTTATGTTTGGGCAAGTTGTGTTGCATACTGTAAAAGAGTTATTTTAATGTACATACTGCTTTTTATTATATACCAGTAGCATAAGGAAAATAGGAAAAACAATCATACGATTGCTTGCATAAGCATTTTGTCCTAGTTCAAAAGGTGAAGTATATTAGTGGATACTATTATAAACATGTTCTTTAGTTCTTTTCTGTTCCTTCTTTTAATATAAATATCACCTTAGATTTCAGGACCTGCCAGACTAGTTGTACTATAACTGCTCATTCATTAAGAACTTTAAAAGAGACATAGTGCCTTCACTTTGCAGCTTTATGCTGTTGTTCTAAAAACTCCAGCATGACTGACAGATCATCATTGCAGGATATGTATTTTCCACCCAGGAAAATATAAACAGAACAAGCCTTTGTGTTTCATACAGAATGAATTCATAAAACACCATGAAAAATATCCTGTTGATGTCCTGTCTAAAGAGGTATTTTGCCAATATTAGAAGGAAAACATCTTCTCAAAGAATACTGTGTTCTTGGTGCTTTTCTTCTTGGTGCTATCATTTGTAACATGACTTGAAGGGGGGACGTTGGTTAATGACTTCACTATTATGGAGGAATAATGGCTGCAGATAGTCCAAGGACATACCTAGAGTCACTGAAGACTTTTTACTTCTTTAAATACAAACTACATATTTAAATATCTGAAAATCAGTTCATATGTTTGGGCACGAGAAAGACCCACAAGTGATTATATAATATCTACAGTATAACTGAAAAGAGAATGCTACATATGCAGTGCATAGCTTGTAGGAAACAATCCTATATCAGTCTATAATAAATATATGCACTTATCAGCAAGAAGGTTATACAGTAAATGCATATAAATTTTGAATTAAAAACATCGGTGGGCAAGACTGTGCCATATAGTTGAATTAGTTTTAACTGGATTAGACTAGGGTATCTAATGTTTTAGACAGCTAAGCTTTTCCTCAGTGTGCGTGTGTGTGTGTGTCTGAGTGAGTGAATGAGTGAGTGAGTGTGATATCAGTGCTCCCAGCATTTAGGTTTCAACACTTAATGTGTTGTGTCTCTAGAGTATTCTTTCCATTACTAGCCTGGTAGGCTGAGGGTCAACTACATATAACTTGAACATGTGATTATCAACTATGTCCAAATCAGAACCAGAACAAAGGTTAGTGTAGAATTGTTCATTCTTTCCTCTTCTGCAGTTCCATCTGAGAATGCAGGAAAAAGAGCTCTGCAATTTACATTATCCAAAATTGTAAATTAATTTGTTTGATTTGATAATGAGATAACAGCAGAGGCTGGGAATCTGAATAGGGTATAGAAGAACTGCATATCTCATGGTAGACCCCTGATCTGGATCTGATTTGAGTATTTGCTTATATTTGGTATAATATTGTTATTTGTTGTGTTTTTAAGCAAACTTACTATCTAAGCATGACTCACGCATAGTGAATTTAATCACAGTTGACTCTGTTAACCCATTTTCATGTTTGTACAACACACTGAATTTTAAACATCAAACAGTCTGGGGGTTTTGCTCCAGGCTAAGCTAAAATGTAATTGCTACTTTATATTACAGGGTGTCATGTGAGCACCGCTATAGCTTTAAAGGCAGTATAGGAATTACATGTAAGGGTAGGGTGTATTGTACTTGAATTAGATGTTTTCTTTAAGTATCCTAAAATAGTGAAGCACCTTGATGGCTGTACCTCATTGCAGCATAGAGTTATGCAAGTATGTTAAGACTTCACCTTTTCTTCACCATGGCCCCCCTTTAAATACCTTTTGCAGCCACAGACTATGGCCAAGGACCTGCAATACTTAACTCAATGCTTCAGATCATAACATTTCTTCAAGCCTTCACGGATCCCCCCTCCGCCCGGGGCCCGCAGACAGGTTGAGAACCACTGTGTTAAGCAATGAAATGCTAGCTAGGTATTACAACATGACAAGGGAATCATGTCATAAGGCAAATAGGGTTAGGTACAGTATTGCTTACTAACTTGCAGTTCAATAACACTCCACAATATAATTAAACATCTCCACAATTTTTAGTTGTTTTGGGTAAATTCATTTTTTGTAAGATCTACAAGATTCTAATCAGATATATCCTATATAGCTGTTATATTTGGAAGCTACTTTAGTGGCTTCCAATTGTATAGCTATATGAAAGAGTTGCCCAGAAGTGAAAAAATATTACATTTCAGTACTATCTAGCTACAAATTCTAGAAGACTGGAAGACCTCCAGGTTCCCTTTTAGATTCTATTCTACTCTACTTTACCCTACCCTACACTACACTACCCTACTCTACTACAATTTGTAATTTTTTAATATAAATGAGAGAAGAAAGAGTAGCAGATTAAGATTCCATCAAGTAATTGAGAGGTAATGTTTTATTTGATATCAAAGAGATATTAATCTAATCCTAAGATTTTTAATTTAAAAAAGTCCATTGTGTTCAATGAGAATTAATGCTCATTAAATTGCTTAGGACAGCATAAGTTTTTTAATATTTTCAAAAATGATGTTTAATGTTTTATAGACAGACCAGAAATTTTTACTCCTAATATTATCTGATTCATGCATGAATTTGAGATCTTATCTGGGGTTTAATAAACTGAAATAGATCAGACTGGTTGCCTATATGTCATATATTTAATGTTCTGAGTCCTTTGTTTACCTCAGCATAAGAATTGTGGTAACTATCTGGAATAAGAAACTTCAACACAGCTCCTCTTTGAATTCAAACTGAGTTATGGCTTGCACTGTCAAATCCTGACAATACTAGGAACCCTGTTTCTACCGGTGTTATTACATTAAATCTATTATTTGGCTTGTCCTATTATTGTTATATTTTAGGCTAGTATCACTAGGATTGTAAATACAGTGTGTGATCGATCACTGTTTATTAAAAATGTATATATTCTTCTTGGCTCTATCCCCAGTATTTGGTATCTATTAAAATATCAAGAATTGTGATTAGGGCAAGCAAAGGTATGGCTAAAAGAATGACTATACAACACTGGAAATAGAAATCTAGTCCTGAATTACAGTAATGGTTGTTGATATGGGGTGTTTGTCAGAATTTGAATCAATTTATTTATTTGTTTGTTTGTTTATTGGACAAAGAGCCATATGATCAAACTTTCTGTTTATTGTATGTTTAATCTTAGGTATGTATTGAATATAAATATGCCATGGTATTACCAGTTTCTCTGTCTGCTTTTAAAAGAATATAAAGTCATCTGGCTACTCCTACATAAATAACTAGACTATGATTACAAGTGGGTTTGTATCTTGTAAAAAACACTGTGTTTGGGAAACATCTCTTCTTAATTTCTCTTTTTCTCCTATGTCCTTCTGACTCCTCCCAGCAGATTATCGACAGTGAGAATGAAGCTTTGCTGGCAGCTCTCACTGAGACACTGGATGACATTCAGGAAGAAGACATGGGTCTGGCTGCCTTCAAAAATATGGATGAGGGGGACATGCCCAACAGCGGCTTCACCTCACCCATCCCCTCTCCCAATCCTGCTGCACCAGTTACGAGGGGGCCTCCTGTGGCCCAAGAGGTTGATGAGCTGTCTCTAGTAAGAACCACTTCCTACTGTTTAAGGTGGATTTGGATGCGCCTCTGATAATCCGGCTGCATGGGTATGATAGGAAGCAAAGGTCTGAATTTTTTTCATTATAGGCTTACAGTTATAACAGTACAAAAGCGTTCTATCTATTGTTGTATACGTATACATGTGCCACATCGTTTCTCTCATTTGATCTGCTCCATAGTAATTCTCATTGGGAAGAATATGATTGGGATGGAAAAAGAAGGGCATAGAGCGGGCTAGTACATGAAAGGCTTAAGCACATCACAATACATCTGGTCCTCCATTTAACGACTGGCGCACAACAAGTGCTTTACACCCCACAAAGCACTTCTGGCCATCATAAAATGTGCCTCACACCCTATTCTTCATATCACATGACTGTCTTGTCCTTACAACCAGTTGCATTGTTCTATGATCACGTGACTACAATTTGCAATGGTTTTTTTTTGTGATTTTCTGGCATCTTTTGCTGGTTTCCGGCAAGCCCGTTCAGAAAAATGGGTTTGCACTTATGACCATGGCATTCGCTTAATGACTGTTGATTCATTTAATGACTGCAGTCAATTAATGACCACCACAGAAAGTGTCGTCAAATTGTGTCTTGTCATATGAATACCTTAGCTTACAACTGGAAATCTTGTCCCAATTGTGATTGTAAGTCGAGGGCCACCTGTATTAATTTCAAATATTATCTACTTTAGGGATGCCTACTGTTCCAACATTTTCTCTCATTTCTTACATTTTTCCTTACATCACACTTTCATATCTGTTAAGGAGATGTAAAGTGTGGCATTTTCTTTGCGTGAGTAGTCATGATATAGGGCAAGCTGTTATACAGTATTTTCTCTAAAACCACAGTTCTAGTACAGTAATTTAATAAATTGTTCTGAGATTTCATGGTCTCTGCTGATAGCTGCCTCTGGCCAATCTTAGTTGGTCTTGGAAACCAAATGAGATAAAAATTGAACGAATTAGTACTTGGGTGAGATATCACTGCGAAGTACAAGATATACTGTTGCATGGTTATGTCCATGTAGTCGTCAGAAATTGAGTTGAACTCTTTAGCTCACATAGTGCCTATATAATTTCCAAAGGTCTTGAAACTTGCTTCCAGTTAAAGGGGCTTGTTTTTCCAAGGTAAACTAACAACTGAAAACTGGGAAGTTTTGAGTTTTTAATTGAGGCATGCATCCTAGTCTCCTCCCTTGAGGTAGCAGAACAATCTGCAGTTGATTTTCTGTGGTTTCTATTCCTCAGTACATGATATTATTAGCCAACCAGCAGGTGAGAGCAAAGAAAAGAATATTATGGATGACAGCCTCTCTGATAATAGAAAATACTGCTGCTTGTAATCTAGGTTTCATTTAACAAGATAAGATCATTATGGAGCTCTGAAACTTCAATGCTCTGAAACTTCAATGCTCCATAATGTTCTTTCCCAAAATATGCTTTTATAAAGGACATGAGCATTCTTCACTTCAAGCAGAACATTTGCACAGGACATCAGGAACATAGCTGTAGATTGTAGCCTCTCACCCATCTACCCCACTTCCCTGTTATTTACCATTAATGAATTTCATGATTCCTAAAAGTGTTATAGTGGCATCTAGTGGTAAGAAGTACACATTTCCATGTCACAAAGCTGCCTGTATGTTTACACATC